GAAAGAAAGAAAGAAAGAAAGAAAGAAAGAAAGAAAGAAATGTGCTCCCGCCCCAGCTTAGGTTCACTGCAGAAGCTTATCAGCCACTAATTACTCAGAACTGATTAAGGAAGCAAACAGAGAACATTCCTGGTCGCTGCCAGGTACCCAAACCCCCGTGACCAGTGAAACCAGCTAGCATCACCTCATCGCCCATGCTTTAACCTTGCAGGAAGGAATAAGAAAAATTAAAAAAAGAGGCAGGCCAGAGGCCCCCGGGCCCTGTTGTGTCTTACTGATGGCCCTCCAGATCTGGCAGAAGGCCAGGGTGAAGCAGACGAACGCCCAGTTCCACTCGTGGTTCTTGCCGACGGTGGACACACCCATGAAGATGAAGATGAGCGTCTCGCTCACGCTGCTGAGCATCTTCATGAAGTACTTGATGGTCGTATAGGATTTCTGGGACACGTTCTCTTCCACGTACTTTTTCATCGTCACCGCACAGGCTGTGATTCTGCAAAAGGAGTGGAGTCTCAGAGAGAAGCCACAAGGCTTTGCCCCTCACTGAACCATCCTCCCTACGAGTGCTGGCTGGATACACGAATCCTGTTTCTACCCAGAGAGAACATTGTCTCCATCCCTCTCTCTGCCTGCAGATTTCCCACAGACTTGCTTTCTTCCTCTTCTCCCGCCTTAAGGAGTCTGCACAAGTTGAGTGTGTCTGGCAAGGTTTTCCCAAAACAAAACGGCGCACAACTCAGGCACCAGCCGCAAGTTTCTGTCTCGACCTCCTCCATCAAGGGCTTTGTCAGCCTCACATCTTACTCTCTACTTCACCTGCCTTGAACCACAATAAATCCAGGGCAGGTACCTAGAAAGGATAATTCAGCGAGTCCCCCTCATATCATTCTATTTCCTACAAAAGTTTAATGAGAACATTTTTATTTGAAATCTTTTGTTCTGGAGCTACTTAGCAAGTCTGAAGGGAAAAGAAAGGCTTTTGCCCTGTCTTAGCTGTTTGTTTACATTTAAGCTGGGAGAATGATGAGCACTTAGACTTTACACTATGGTGTTTAATTAAAATAAGTACTTCTATCGAATAAAATTCTGCCCAAGGAGCTAAGTATGAGGATAATGTCATCAAGAAAGCAGCACATTCAGAAATAACAAGCCAAGATGAAAGGCCTCGTCCCAAGACCGACCCAAGAATAAGCATTTCAAAATCATTTTCATTCGGGAAAAAAAAAATCTGTATTTCTATTCTCACCCCATCCACCTAGTTTCATTCCACACTGACCAGTCCTGAAGCTGTGATGTGATCTGAGGGAATCAGCAGAAGGCAGAACCTCGAGGCATGCTTCCCTTTAACTTTAAAATCATGCACTTTTTCCAAGGAGAAAAAAATAATGACTGAAGTGAGATTTTAACCTTGAGCTTCTCCCAGCTCTTCACTGCCATCAGCTTTTCTGAGCATTATACATTGACTTCATAATTGTTACGCCTTCTTCAGGCAAATCACCAGAACAGAGCACACACAAACGCTGGAGAGAACATTTGTTTGGCAAAGGACCTGAATCGGATTTCACAAAAATTCAAAAATCCTGACTCTTGCCACGCGCTAAAAGTCAGGCTTTCCCCGGATGCTGGTCCACAGGACGTGGTCCTGACTTCTCCTCTACGGCATGACAGTTGGTCCCTGGTTGGTACTCACGCCAGGATGCCAGAGAGATACAGGGTCTCAGCAACCAAGTAGGACAAGTAGCTGAACATGAAGACGATGAGGGGTTCAATCGCCGAGATGTTCTCAGTGAAACGCGTGATGAATGCAGAAATGAAGCCAAAGACGACACCGAAGAAGACCCCCCCCACCCCCACAACAACGAACCGGGCGCATCCGGCCAGAATGTCCACGGGCTCTATGTCTTCAAATTTGTGCATCTTTGTGAAGGCAATTAATATATTATATAAGACCTAGACAAAAAGAAAATGAAAAAAAAATCATGAGTTAGGAATGAGAAATATTTCACACGCAGACTCTTAACTTTCTGTCTAGTTAAATAATACACCACAATAAAGCACGTCACAAGGAATATCAGCATGGCTGCCTAACTTTTAAATGCATTCCAAATAATTTAAATGTATTCAGTTTCGCTGAGTAGGAAGTATAATATTCTCAGTTTTCAATCACTCTACTAAGCTCTCTGTGCCATCATCAGTTGGTCTCCGCTCCAAATGCCCCCTTCAACATGGGCACCGTAATAAACGATGGAATTCCTTGATTTCTCCTTTGAAGTGAGAAGCGCCCTGCTCCGCTCTCTCGGTAGAGGGCGCTGAACGGCACTGCAGGGGGAAGGGGCTTCCTGCAACTTCCGGTGGGAGGGATGAGGGTCAGCCCTGGCGGCAGTACTTCCCGTGGAGCCTGCCAGAGCCACACGTGCTGGAAGTGATCCCTCTGCAACCTTGCAGCCTCCCCCTGACTGCTAACTTGTCCACAGACCTCTTGGCACAGGAAACAAAAAGGCCTACCACGGCCCTTTGCAGCCAGGGGTCCAGCCCTCTGTGAACCCTCCCTTCTCCCCGGCCATGCAGCCGGCCCCCTGGAAGGCCCTCTGCCCCCCAGGGCCATGCTGGGTCAGGGCTCCCAGGCTCCCACTGCCCAGTGCTGCTGCCTGCTGGTGCCCGCTCCCCGCCTGCCCTCTGGGGGGTGGTCTGTTGTTTGCCCAGGGCCTCCCCCTCCCCCTCCCCCAAGGAGAACTCGTTTGCATAGCTCTCTGGATTGTAAGTGGCTACCCAGTGGCTACCCGGTCTGTTCCTAGGGCCTGGGAAAGTCAGCTGGGCCAGCCCTGTCCCCGGACACCAATGTGTCCTGCCAGGGAGAGGCCATAGCCATTTCAGAAGCTAAAGTGGTACCTATAATTAAGAAGACTACATTTCCAGACACAATCAATATGACTGCACGAAAAACAGTTCTTATCTTTCAAATTATACGGCTCTGAGTGTCATTACAGTTGTGAAAGATTTTCTTTGGATTTATTTCAAATCGCAATCATGTGTGTGTGTTTTTTACATATTGGAGGGGAAAACTCAGCCAGCCCTGAATCTCGAATATGTTCCCGGCACTAACGGAAAACGAGATAGATTTACCCTCTTCACTTAACTGGGATGTGATAAGAAATATATATTTTGTCTTTGTCCCTGGTACCCGGCACAGAATTCCTAAAAGCCTTGTAATTTCCTGAGTAATAAGAGTGTGGAGAGCATCTTTTATTTGTAATGAGCCTTTTTCAGCCACACCTGAGTTTATGTTAATGGGGTGACTCTTGCCTGGGTCCAAGGTATCTTCTGGAGGTGAACTGGTTGCCAGAGGAACTCCCCACGTGATTAAAGGGTTGTAACTTTCACCTCCACCCCTTAACCTCCAGAGAGGGGAGAGGGGCTGGAGCTTGACTTTAATGGCCAAGACCATAACCAATTATGCCTACATGATGGAACCTCCAGAAGAGCCCTAAACAATGGGGTTCATAACACTTCCAGGGGGTGGATTATAGCTCAGTAGTAGGGTGCATGCTTAGCATGTGTGAGGTCCTGGTTTCAATCCCCAGTACTTCCATTAAAGAAAAAAAACTTGCATAAAATTAATAAAAAAAAATTTAAAAGCACACTTCCAGGTTGGTGTGGGGAGGCTGGCGCACCCAGAGAAGGCACGGAGGCTCAGTACCTTCCCAGGTACCTCGCCATCAGCATCCCTTCCACTTGGCTGTTCCGAGTTACATTCTTTCTAATAAACTGGTAATAGAAAGAAAACTGCTCCCCTGAGTTCTGTGAGCTGTTCTAGCAAATTATCAAACTGAAGGAGGGGGTGTGGGATTCCCCCATTTTACAGCCAACCAAATTTGTTCTTTTGATAAAAACCAATTTGTTACCTTTTTCCTTTTGTTGTTTATGCCTTTCTGTCCTTTGCCTACTCCAACATCGTAAAGATTTTTTTCCTACATTTTCTTCTGGGAGATTTGTAATTTTAGCTTTTACATTGTGGTACTTTTTGAATTTGATTTGAGGTAAGGGGTAACTTGCATCTTTTCCCACATAGCTATCCTGTTGTTTTAGCTCCACGTCTTCCTTTTCCATTGAACTGCTTTGGCCCTGTGGCCAAAAATCGACTGGCCATGTATGTGTTACTATTTCAGACTCTCTATTCTCTTCCACAAGGTCACATCTTTTGTTTAATCAATATTGTAATTTTGCTTCCTTACTATAATTTTTGTAGCATCATAGCCAGTCTTCAAATAAGTCTTCTAACTTCGTTCCTCTGTTTAAAAATTCTTTTATGTATTCTGTCATTTGGATTGCTAATCAGACTTTGGTATCAGATGGTCCATTTCTACCAAAAAAAAAAAAGTCTCCTGCGATTTTATTGGGAGTTTATTGAATCTACAGATCAGTGGGGAGAAAACTGCCCTTAATATTGAGTTTTCTGTTAACAAACATGATATTGTTTGGGTCTTCTACAATGTTCTATAATATTCAGTGAAACAGCCTTGTTCAACTTTTTTGAACTTCTAAGCATTTTCATTTTGACAGGACTTATAAATGGAATTTGAACATTACCTCCTGCCACCAGTATTTAAAGTTGTTTGCCACGACTATATTAAAGTGTTTTGATTTTTGTGTGCTAACCTTACATCCCATGACCTTGCCAAACTGACTTATTAATTCTAGTCGTTGTTTTATATATTCCTTGGGATTTTTTTTTTACATAAACCATCATGTTATCTACAAACAGAGACATATACACTATGTCCTTAGTGATTTTTGTCTGTATGCTTTTTTCTTCTTACATAATAAATAGAAATGTTGAGAGTGATATGTTGCTTTGATCCTGATCTAAATTTATTGAGGCATCTTTTATGGTCAAATACATGGTCATTTTGATGAGCATGGTGGATGAACTTGAAAGGAATGTGTAGTCTGCAGTTGCTGGGCACAGTCTTCTTTAACTGTCAGTTGGAACAAGGTGTTGATGGTGTCCAGATCCTCAGTGTCTTGCTGATAGCCTTGGTGGCTAAGAGGACTTCCAGCCAGAGACCTCTCATTCAAGAACAGGAGTCAACAGACCCTTGAGAAGTGTATCCATGGACTGGGGGCCATGACATAGCCTGAGTGAAACCCTCTGCCCAGTTTTGCGCTGTAGCAACCACAGCTTCTGGGAGGTACAACGAGAGTGGACCGGATGGTCTAACACTCACTCACAACCGAAGCTGACCCGGGGTGACAAGGAGAGGGCTACGGAAATCACAGCCTGGAGCCAGAATCAGCGCTCCGTCTCCGGACCCTCCCCTGGATGTGATGTTAGCTGCACAACAGGTTCTGCCCGATCCTGTTCGTTTTACATAATCACTGAGGAAGCTACAGGGAAACCAGCTGGCAACCAGCCAGCTCTCAGGACTCCTCAAATGATCCTGAGCATGTGTTTTTCCACAGCAAAGCCCAACACAGCTGATGCACCTTTGAGAACGCAGGTAGGCGTGCTGGGCAGGGGGGCCGGGGGGGTGTCTCCTGAAAGCCACTGAGCTGGGAAACTCTCTCGGCTGTTTGGGGTCCTAGGTAGCTCTCCCAAGTCAGTGATTTCTATTAATGCATCATGTAATCGCCTAGAGTTTGAAAGGGGTATAAAAAATACACACTATTGTATATAAGATGGATGCACAGAAAGGTCCTACTGTACAGCACAGGGAACTATATCCAATACCTTGTAACAGCCTATAATGCAAAATGATATGAAAAGGAATCTATGTGTATATGTGTGTGTATGTATAACTGAGTCACTATGCTGTACACCAGAAACTAACACAACATTGCAAATCGACTATACTTCAATTAAAAGAAAATCCAGAAGAAGCAGGTCCGCGGTTGCACAGGAAGAATGATCTACAAATGAACAGAATCAGGTCCCAGGCTCCTGGCTTGTGGCTCTGCCGAGGCGGGGGCAGGGCTCCTTGCTTCTCCAGCCCGGACTCACAGCACCGGGGGACAGAGCGTGGTGCTATGGCATTGAAGGATCTGCTTCCACATGCTTTTCTGCCATCATTCTGATCATTTCCTAAACATTTATTGAGTTTGCTATTCTCCCTAAGTGTTTCTTTTCGAAATCCATCTCCACAGCCGCTCGGCCCTGCCCCCTGACGAGGGAAGGCTGGCCCGACGACCAGCGAGGGCTCCTTCTTCATCCTGCGCTTGTGAGCTGGACTGAGGTCTCATCGCCCATCCATGGCTCACAGCGCAGGCTGCTGGAAACCCAGTTCGTGACACCCAGACTTCAATCACTCTGCGTCTTCATCCAGAAGAAAGTGAACCAAACCAGTGTTTCTGCATCAAATTGGAGGCATTCCTGCATTCCAGGGGACACAGGGTTGAATGTCCCCCTCCCACCCGGCCCTGCCGCTGCGCATCTCTGAATTAGGAACAGGGGCCTGAGGAACAGACCTTCCAGGCTGCTGGTTAACGAGAGCCCCCTGCACCTTAGACCCCGGACACGCAGAGGTAAAGGTGTCTCCCAGTTGGGGGAGTTTAGACTCAAATTCGCCTCCTCTGTTGGTGAACTTTTGACCCCTCCAACATCCGGGTTTGTTGGGACCAGCATGGGCTGCCCTCTACCCCTCATTTCTCCAAGCTCCTCCCACTTCCCCAACCTGGTCCAAGTGCATCCCAAGCTATTGTGTGTGTTGCACACCCCCCCCACCACACACACACCACCGGCCCCCACGGCCAGTGCCATCTCTCACCACCTCGGCGGCTGTGGGCTGAGCAGAAGCTCACCAAGCAGAGCTCAGGTGCTTTGATGGGAGTCAGGTCTGAAAAGGAAAATGCCTGGGTCCCGGCTGAGTGGGCACCAGACACCTGCCCTGCCTCCCGGGTCAGAAGCAGCCCTGGGGGAGACGGCACAGCTCAGGTCCACGTGCTGAGTCCTGGCAGCGGGTGACGCTCGCTGCCCAGGTGC